TAGGATCAGTTATATAATCGACTTGTTGTCTTTAGGACCAGAAGTCGTCCAACTGGACAGAGAACAATGTGATTAGTGGGAATAAGGTGTATGATGGAAATACTCTGATGGATTTCGCCATTTGGTCCAATGCCCAGAAATCAGTGTTACCCAGACATGATCATGCTGCCTTGTACACGGGGTAAGATTCCTGCAAACTCCCCAAGAGATAAAGAAACATGATGATGAAATAAATTGATGATGGATATCTTTGTTTTCATTTGTGTACGTTTTATCACAGGTATAATCTGGCAGAAACATCGACAGATGACAGAACTATAGGTAAGAATCTCCCATTTTTTTCTGACAGCATTACACTAATGTGTATATATACCAAAGCTTGCTTATATCTGATGTTTCAGGTATTGCCTATCTGTCCAGAGTATGCAATTCTTACGCAGCATCCGTTAATGAGGAAACATTTAACGCCATCGCAATTCACATAGGTGCTCACGAGCTTGGTCACAGGTGGGGAAAATGTTGTTTACACAATTACTTCTAATTTTATCAAGTTTTTGTCTCCGTTGATACCAGGAAGTTCACTAACATAACATTTTTCTCTTTTTTTCTAGCATTGGTGCATCACATGACACGGGGGCGTGTCCTTCCAGTAATTTTAATTTAATGGCGGGAATTTTACCAAATCCGGCCAATCTTAGTCCCGACATGGCACTAAACACTTACAAATTCTCGGCTTGCTCAAGAGCAGCAATTGGGACCTACGTTAGCGGTTTACTTGAGTAAGATATATCCAACATCTCCTCATAACAAATCTGTTTTTTGCACACAATTGCAACAAAACCCCAACAATAATGCTTGTTCAGTTACAAAATATGAAACCTTTATCGTTTTTTTTAAGCGTTACGTTCTTGTCAAGTTGTGATTTTGCTATCGGGTGACCGTTAGAATGTGACATTCAGATTTCTTTCTCCTTTAGAAATTGTTTGAGTAACATGCCACCATATTTGGATGTGGTCACTCGAGAGAGTCAAGCCTTCACAGCAGACGAACAATGCGCGATGACGTATGCACCATCTGTTGGTTCCACAGTCTGTCGGGTATAACTTCATAAACTTAATACTTGTACCTAAAAAGTTGAAGAACAAACTCTGAAATAAAGATATAAAAATTAAAGTTTGGATCCAATTTGGTTCACACATCCACACACGAAACAAAGTTAATCCGGATTAAATCGGGTGAATGAAAGCGTCTGCGTGTAAAAAGAATATTCAAAACGCATTAATTGGTTAACAAAATCTAGAATAGGATAGTCTGATGAAATGAATTAAATGTGGATATTGAGATAGTCAGTGTAAAAAAGTTGGTTACACAGTTATTACCGATATGATTCACCTGGATATTAAATGCTATTATCATAGGCATAAATATTTCACATACATCTTTTGTTTTTAGGAAACGTATACTGGTACTATACTCAAGTGGTCAGAGATTTGCCACAAACTACGATGTCGTATTCCAGGAAGTACTTCATGCTCGGCCCATTTTACGTTTGATGGAACAGCATGTGGTAATTACAAGGTAAACTGACTGCTGATGAATTTTGGCCTCTTAATAGTGAATATGTTTTTCCTTTGCAAAATTTTGACATGATTCGAACCTCGTTCTTTTATGTTTGTTTGATTTAGTGGTGCCAGCTCGGACAGTGTGTCAGTTCTACAAAAGCTCTGGATGTGCCAGGTAAGGGAACCAATACATTGAGGCATGTTAATCCCCCTTACCCTCCCCTCCCAAATAAATTGGAGAATATGTGGTTGTCAGTTTACCTCTTTTTTGAAATGAAAGTAAACACGGGGGAAGGTTTGTCCAAGACGTTTAAAGACAGGCCAAACGATTAAGTTTGTTTGTTGCAAAACAATATTCAAAACGATATTGTATTTACACTGTATTTAGATATTTGTTGGCCAGAAAGACATTTGACGACTTTATTTGCAGCAAACTCGATTCAGAGTAGGCATTGACGTCATCATTCCTGTTTCTGACGCACTTACTTGAAGTACTTTGAGCGGAGAATTTTTACTCAAGCCCTAGAGGGGCTTGAGTTATCTAAAACGATGCTAAGTCATTGATTTACTCAGTTTAAAAACACAAAAATATATTATTTTTGTAGATTAAAATATTTATAGAAACAGAAATGAAGCTTATCTTGAAAACATCCGTATATTCAAAGATATTAAGTGTTAAACATCGGATTCTATTCTATGGCGAACGAACAATGAGTGAAGCTCCGCAGCCGCAACAGTTTCTTTACAGAGATTTCGCGCTTTCCTTTGCGTAGGAATCTCAGGTAACTTTTTACAGTCGCCCACAAAGCATCCATGGACGAGTCCACTGCAGACTCTGAAGGGTGACGCAGGTTATCCCATCGCTAACAAATTCTACGATGCTTGGCCATAAAATGTATCGCTCTGCCCCCCAACTGAAATTGCTTTTCACGGGCCAGCAAATGATGTGTACTTTGAGTGACAGTAAAATAATAGCTCAAAATCAATGTTAAATTCTCGTATTTTTTAAGCTTTGGTAACGGAACCTATTTTATAATAACTTCTTTTGGATTCGTACGGAATATGTATTGGACATATCGCTCAGCTAGATGAACCCCATCGGCTCAAGCGTACTAGAGTAGGAGAGGATCCATTTTGGCCGTGGTTTGCAACGATGGATGAACCCGCAGTCACGGAGCCCCCTCAAACTCAAACTAAACTCAATAGCTCTCATCTTATACCATTTTAGGATATTAATGACACTTCCTAATTGACTTTCTACAGCTTGAGTATTTCTGACGTTTTGTCAGTATATACTTGTTTTCCTGATTTAACTGATATCAAATTGTATTTACCAGATACCTCAGATTTTGTTCCTGTACCGTGAGGCCCTTTTTGTACACCGATATGTAAAATAATAATCACGCAAAACTTGGTTAGTATTCTTTGATTAGCAACCCTCGAAGATGTTTCCCCTGAAAACGTATATGGTGAACAAAAAGCCCCCCCCCCCTCCATCCCCCACCAACCCAACTTCCAACACACACGCATACATTTATACCCATACATTTTGTACTTTTCATAAGTATTTTGTTTTTTGTCCAGAACAAAACTCACATGCCCGTTTGCTTCTGACTTGCCCATTCCGTTTGAAAGTGCCTTTGTAGTTTAATAGGGCTATGCAATAACATCGATTTTCCGATATATATTGCAATTCGTGACATAAAATATCGTATTGCAATACCAAATACTGTATATAAGTATCCCGGCAAAATGCTACAGCTTTAGATTTATAGGGTAAAATATGATATTCAAGATGTCAGAACCGTTTTCAATTTAATCGTGTCAAAGAGTAGCAAACGGTAATTGCTTCTGTTATGTGGTTGCATTTTGATACCACACTGACGTAAAATCAACTTTTAACTTTTTTGTTACAATCTTAAGGGGGATGTACAAGCCATATTGGATCTAGTCTGCTGTAAACTAAGAAATACCAAGAATGCGCTTAATACTCTACTAAACTAGCTCAAAGTTACTCAAAGTGCTAATGCACTAATTACCTACTGTTAGAGACCAAAATTAGTAAATAATCAAGTTTATTTTGTCTTAATTAGGAGAAAATTAATCTTGTTAGAACTGCGCAGCTACAGCATTCATGAGATGAAAAATGCATTGAAAATGGAGTTAGTTTGATTCATTGATAATATGGCTACAACCATTTGTTTCGTTTTTTTCTTGTCATTATCCATAATTCTTGAAAATTTGATTTTTCATATGGGTGTCTTCCTGAGGCCATGTGTTTATTTCGTCCGCCATTCCTCTGTCACACAGAGTTCGAATAACAATGATTTTAGAATAAATGCGACCATAATAACATCAAGACAAGAAATTACTAAGTAATAATCATTAGGTTATATTACTTACTACTTTTATTTGTTGCATCGCATCGTCTGATTAATGAAAAAACGCGATTTTAACCTCACTCCAGCAAATCGGGAAAAACTGTCCTGTTTACAACTCGAAATTCCTCGTAAATATTATTCCACTAAGCACATGGTTGGCATGTGCATATATCTGCTGTGGATAGATCCGTTTATTACCATGATTATATTTAATTTTTATGGAACAAGTCTTGATAATTTGTTGGTTTCTTTAAAACTCAAGAAAAAAAGATAAAAATGTCCTAAACATATGTGTTTACGGTGGGTCTTTTTTCTGTGGCGATAGAAGTTATTTTCAAATGGGGCACTGCAAGGAGGATGCTTAGCATTTAATTTGAAAATGTTAAACAATATGCAGTGCATGAAAAATAAATTGTAATTACATGTCTTACATTCGAAAAGTTGGTACATATGTCTATTTTGTTTAGAAGTTAGATAGAAAAAATAGGCAGTTATAGGATTTCCTTCAGGCACCTCACATAAATATCTAGAATGTTTGCAATGACCCACACATTGTATGGGGTCATGTTTGGACACAAAAACGCATCATGCCTCATTATGTTGACAACGTTGTAAGCTCTCGCTCATTGAACATACGAAGCTTGATGAAATATAATGAGTTGTTTCTATGAAATTTAGAAACGAGCACAATGTTTGCAAAGAAAGGTCCATTGCATATGCTAGTCTATAATTGCAAAAAAAGTGAGTGCTAACCCCCCCCCCCCCCCCGCCCCAAAAATCCTATGTTTGTTTTTCAAAACAGTGTCAAAGATTAAAAAAAATTGCATTACTAAGTATGTGATGGAACATGTACTAGCCTTATAAGACCACTTGTTATAAAAATATTTGGTTGCCCTCTCTCCCGATCTACTGCCTAGAAATGGCCCGACTCATTTTTTTAACATCCCATTACACGATATTTTTTTCTTTTTCTTCCTTCAACAATTCTGTTTAAATTTTAAGGAATTTTTTTTCTCACCCATAAATACGGACCCAATAATTTTTCCCTGAGTTGGGAGGACCACCAAACATCATTTTAGAGATGTTTATAAGTTGATTTTTTCTCTTTACTTTGTACATTTGTAATTTTGAAAATATGGGCAAATAGAAAAAAAAATTATTCATTAAATCTCCTAACCCACTGTGAATGATTTCATGCCTTTTCAACTGTTGCTCCTCTGTAATGAAAATTGTAAATGCATGTTTATTTGACACAGTATACGAGGGGTGATAAAAAAGTAAACAATATCTTAGGTATTTGATATTTATATTATTGTTGAAATATTCAAGTATTTTTCAAAGTGTAAAATTTTAATTGAAGGTCTTTGATATCATATTGCTTAAAAAAAACACATCCCTTTTCAAACTTGCTTTCACCGGTCAACATAACAAGTATCATACTTAACCATCTGCCTTCCTTCACTAAAACGATATCCAATCATTGATTGAAATTATAGGAAGCCATTTAATAAACTGTGAACAAATTCTTATACGCTACTTCTAAGGCATTTCTAAGATATACATGTGCCATAAATATTATAGTCGTTTGTTGAACGAGTTCCACTGAGACAACCATTTTTCGTCAAAAGTACCTGAATAATGACGTCATTTTCAGATTGTGACATCGCAAACAAGGAGCAAAACTTCAGCATATGCTATTTATAGAACTTGTGTTTGGCTATCTAATCTGAATTGTGGTTTTGTAGATATAGAGATATTTCGCGAACTTTTTGATAACGCTTCGTAGTAGTAGGTACTAAAACTAGGTCATTCGTATCAATTTTATGTGTCTAATTTCTTTGTGTTTTATTGGTGATGATTAAAATTTTAATAGATAATATAATTTATCTGTGGCAAACTTACAAACTCTTAATTTTTAACTTTGATGGTGCTTATTTTTCCTTACCTGGAATCAAAGAGTTTAAATTTTTTTTATATTAATACGTAAACTATTTAACAACTGTTCGATAATAATACTAAATAAATTACTTCAAGCCACACTATAACACCTTTCCTCTTTTAAAAGTGTTCATATTATTTGAAATATTTTGCAACTGTAATTCTCTTCTACATTTAAAGATTGTTATGCCCCTCCATATTAAGAAGAGGTCTGGAAAACAAGATTCTGTGCTAAAAATAGACCACGTGCTACTATCCATGAACTACTTTCATGGTTCTTTACACTCTTTTTGAAGACAACGGTACCTTGTTTTGAACTTGAAATTATCATTTAAATGTGCAAAATTTAGACATTTTCTCAACAAATGGTTGTAGAGAGAACATTAATACACAGTTTGCATATTTTTTTGGATTTTTTAAGGCTCTGCTGAATTCTGTAGCTGCGCAGTTCTAAGGAGCATATCAAAAGCATTTTTCTGCAAAAGTATAGATTATATATGCACAACATGCATTCGGTTATGCATATTTATTGTATCTTTATCAAAAAGACTTAGAATTTGATCAAAATATAATGTATTTTAGCCATTTGAAGAAATGTTTACATTTTGCTCACACTGCACTAAAAGTGGCCGTACATCCCCCTTAATAGGAGTTTTAAACACTTTGCTTATAAATGGAGGTTAATAAAATAAGAAAAGAGCATTTAAATATTTTAATATTGCAATACATTATAAAATCGCAATACAGTTCAAAATATCGCAATATATCGCAATACCAAATTTTCATCCGATACTCAGCCCTATTAAAGTTTAACGGATCTTTTTTGTGATTTTTAACTCTTCATTAAATCAATTCGCAGACAACTGTCCACTTGGTGATGACCCCAGCTATAACTGTGATGCCTCTCTGTGTAGTCAGTACTCACAAAATGTCCGAGAGGGGAGTTGTTGTCAAACATGTTTAATTGGAACTAAAACAACTAATATACCAACGACCACGACAACAACAACACTGACAACTACAACAACGCCTATTACGACCACAACAACAACAACGAAAACAACAACGCCCACTACAACAACAGCGCCCACAACAACAACAACGCCTATAACGACCACAACACCTACTACAACAACAACGCCCACAACAACAACGACTACAACAACAACAATGCCTACAACGACCACGACACCAACTACAACAGCAACACCTACAACAACAACAACGCCTATAACGACAACAACACCTACTACAACAACGCCCACAACAACTATAA